CCCACCCCACTCAACAACCATCCCACCCCAACCCAAAATAAAACAAAACAGAATAAAAATACATGGATAAAAACCACCGTTTATGGTGGTACAACAAAGTAAAAAGTAAAAACACTTTTAGAACACTTTAAAATATATAAAAACATTTTAAACATTTGCTGCAGCAGCACCAGTGTCCTTAAAGTTGTGGCGGTGGTGAGTGTGGGCCCCGCCCCCTGGCCTGGTGAAGTGGGTTTGCAGGGGGAAGAGCCCTCCCCACAAACCCACGGTGAAGCCGCAGCAGCAATGTCCCGAGGCCTCCTTGGAGCCTTATATGCTGAGGTGGAGTATGGGGCCCGCCCCCAGGCCCAAGGTGGAAAATGGGCTTGCAGGGGGAAGAGCCCTCCCCACAAACTCATGGCGAAGCGGCAGCAGCAAAGTAGTAGTTGTAGTAAACCTAGACACATAGCTAGCACACTCCATTTACTTTACTAGGTTACTAGTTGCCCATACCTGATCTGGAATGCTCCTCTCGTTCTCTTTCTTCAGCCATACTTAGGCTACAAACTTTTGAAATGGCCATTCCTGAGTTTCCGCCAAAGATCCTTAGAATGAAAAGACGCTTAATCTCTTTCAAACTCAGACCTGCCGAAAACTACAATTTCTTGGGAATTTTCTTGATAGCTACAGTGGTTTTAAATCACTTTACACAAATAGTGTGTTCCCTGCTCCCCTTTGCAGTGCTGACAGTACTTGTGTGGCCCAACCTCGGTCAGGTGTTTACCTGGCTGGCTATGCCATGCCAGCACCAGCTGAAGACCAAGGGTTAACATTTGAAGCTATGATATCATTATGTACTTGGTTCACGTATGCTGTTTCTGCTACTTTATTATTTGAGGTCTTTTCCCCTGCTAACATAATGCATTTAACAATGAAGCGAATCCTATCTCTTGTTTAAACCAAAATATGGATTTGAAGTTGGAGAAAGAATCAAGGAATTTATTTTAGATGTCCAAATGCTATCACACGATTAAGCTCAACGTTTCATTTAGTTTTACATGTATTTCCCCCCTCTTTACATGTCCTTACAGTCTTGAAGTAGGAAAATTTTGTTTGGCAAATGTTGTAAAGTTGTGTGTGTTCTACTACAAACATAAATATTGGGCAGGCAAAATATATGAGGAAACACCCCTCCCATCAGACATTATGATAATCAATCATTCTTCTACAGCCTACTGACATGAAATCAAAGTGTAATGTGCGAAACTTCAACTTCAACAACACATTTTGCTGGAAGGTTGTTGACAGTCTGTAGGTGATACCACTGAGATGTGGTATACCAAACTCCTGGTGTATTGCTTCCCCTTAATCTCCCCACACTATATTATCCTATTTACAAATAATATTTTTGCTTTGAGCTGTTAGTATTTTAACAGTCCGGTTTGTTTCTGCCCAGGTTGAGAGTTTTGTAGGTGCTGGGACATCCTTAATTCTAGTCAACACAGGAATTTGTATTTCTGTTTGGGGAAACACTTACATTTCTTAACTTTGTGAGCATTGCTTTAAAGTTTACCTATTACTTTTATTTTTATTTTTTAATTTCCTAACCCAAGCTCAGTTTTGCCTACAATATTCTACCCGCGGTGGCTTAAAGAAGAAACATTTTTCGTAGGCAGCAGCCTTCTTCGTGCACCTGATAAAGTGGGCTATAGTCCATGAAAGCTTATACCACAATAAAACCATTAGCCTTTAATGTGCCACAGGATTCTTTGTTGGTTTTGCTACAACAGACTAGCACGTCCACTCTGCCAGAAATCATTGAACACATGTCTTAATTTAGTTCTCTGTGGAAGTCCACCCCCCTCCCTTTAAAGATACTGCTTCTAAGCCATGAGGTAAACTCTTTCTCAACACATCAGTGTGGCACTTTTTTGTAGTTTTTCAAGAAGTCTTCAGCTCATGAGCAGGTTTCAAAGGAACCTCATCTCCATGTAGTTTTGCCGGATAATCCTTTATCCACCATCTTCAGCTCTCATTCCCTTGATTTCTTGCCTGTGGCTACGTTTCTATCTCTGCATCAATTAGCCCAGTGATTTATACAACAAGCAAGCAGTTTAGAGGTAAATGGTACACAATTAACATCTCATTCCACCATAAAGGGTATGCTAAATACCCCAGTCACTGCTTTCTCTGCCTGGAATTGAAATAAGTGTTTGTCCTAATTCATATGCTATCTGATGTGAAGTGGGCCTGCTTTGTGCTGTACTACACCATTAATCTAATTATAGATAGCTGCAAATGAAGTGCTGTCTGAGCACAGAGGCTGAAGAAAAATAGAGCTTTTGTCATTTAGCATGACTCTGTGAAGCAAGATCACACTTTGCATGGCAGCCTGGCAAAGTGGAGATCCAAATAATATTGCTGCCTGTTGCATGCTTTCTAATTACGAGAGCCTTGTAAACAGAAGTAGACGCCCGGTGTAAATAGAGCTGTAGTTACGCTGTCATGTGGTTTATAGGAGGAAAATCCTCCGAGTGCGGTTGTATTAAATGATGCATCCTGATTGACAGCTACCTTGAGACTGTGCTGATGGAGTTGTCAAAGCATTATGCTAACAGGCTGCTCCAGTGACTGCAGATGTACAGAGCTCTGCTATTCAGACAGCTTTCTAACTGTTATCTGTTCATTTTACCTTGTCCGGCTGTGTTGTAACTCCACACAAGGAGGACAGCTACAAGCTTTATTTCTGTATGCTTTTGACTCTGACTGCTCAACCTTAACCTAAAGTGGAAGGAATCTGTTTTGTGAGGCTTTACTCTTTATTGGGGAGTTTTTCCCCACTAGAGTGTTATATATTACATGGTGGATTTAAAGGTGGGAAGTGTGAGCAACATTAATTGCTATTTTAATTAAGTTTGTGTTGCTAGGACCTGTACTAGAGAAGTGGTGACATTCTCCTTTCTATCCCTCATCCATTAAATATTCAATTTTTAGGAATCCCTTTTGTATTGCCACGGGGTGTTTTTTTTTTTATTACATAAGGGATTTGTTTCTCCCACTTAAACCAGGGATTATTGTGGCACAACTGCACTACAACTCATTTGTCTACCAGAGACATGCTAATAATGTAGGAACTGGGAACTCCAATATAAAAGTCAAACTCTAATTTATTGACTAAGCAGTACATTTTTTAAACTGCCATGATCATAGAAATTTCCCAAAAAAACATTTCCGGAGTCCATAATGCTGAGGGATGGGAGACAATTGACTGTTTTTAACCCAATATATGAGGAGAACTTTGATGTATAAAGAGATCTCATGCTCTATGAGAATTTAAACTTTAGACATAAGCAAGCACCCTTATTAAAGATGCACTTATTAAGTTGCACTGAATTTAGAGGAACTTCTGAGTAACGATGTCGAAGATTACAGAGTTAATGCACTAATTTCAGTGCCCAGGCGGCAGCGAACCAATATATTTATGATGCCTATGAGTATTTTGAGCCAGTAAGAATGGGTGTCACTTGGAATGATATGGCTTTCCTGAAAGATTTGAATTGGAATTTTTTCCTTTGCAAATTAGGATCTTTTGCATAGGGATAATTTTCAATTTTCACCTATAGCAGGGGTAGCTAACATGGTGCCCTTCAGGTTTTCCTGGACTCCTCTCCCAACAGCCCCAGCTAGCATAGCCATCAGGAGAGCACCATGTTGTTTGCTTCTATCCAAGTGAATGATCTAATTTGTAATGCTTCTTTTGCATGTTGTTAGTAAACAAAACAAGCCATGCTTGCCTTAATGTACTTGCAATTGTCATCCATTTGTTGTTACTTAAAGAGCTTATGAAATAGAAAAATAAATAAATCTAAGGATCCACAAAAGATCTTCCACTTTATACTGCAAGATGAATGCAACTTGGGACTTTAAACACTGACCACTCGAAAAAACTTGTTTTTAAAACATTAAAAAAATTATCAAGGTGGAGTTATCTTTGGACTTACATTGCTTAAAGTTAAACAGTCATAACACAAAGAATCTTGTTACACATTAAAAACATTGTGGGCTAACATATTCATTATTGCATAACATTTTATGGACTAGATACATTTATTGTTATCCTCAGGTCGCAGGTAAAGGAATTTCAAAAAGAGACGCAAGCCTGGAGCAGTTGCATCGGAACTAATAAAGAAGTTCTACTCTATTGCTTTAGGCTTAAGAGGAACATGAATCTATTGAAGAAGACTCTTGCCTATGAAAGATTATGCTACAATAAAATATGTTAGGGCTGTATCCAACAAAGCCATTGCACAGGTGGAACAACATCTGCTCATGCAACAGAATGAGCCCTTCCATCTCTTCCTCTTGCACCTCCAAATCTGTTCTGAAGGTTTCCCCAGCCTTCCAGAACAGACTGGGGACTCACAGATCATTCCACATGTACAATCACTTCATTCAGCCCTTATGCCAGGCATAGGCAAACTCAGCCCTCCAGATGTTTTGGGACTACAACTCCCATCATCCCTGACCACTGGTCCTGTTAGCTAGGGATGATGGAAGTTGTAGTCCCAAAACATCTGGAGGGCCGAGTTTGCCTATGCCTCCCTTATGCTAACCCTAATCCCAACCCTTAGTCTTAATGTGCTAGCTGACTTTTAAAAATTATTCTTATTTTTAGTGCAATAGAATAATACAACCACCCCAAGAAGCATAGACAATAGTTTTAGCAGTAAGCTGCTAAAACTACTGTCTATGGTCTTATGCATATAATGTATAATTGTGATATAGAGCAGATAGTTTTCTTACAAAAGGTGTCTGGTACAGTCCCTGGCACCCAAAGTTGGGCTGGAAAATATTTTTGTTTAAAACCATGGGGACCTGCGAGTCTCAGATCCAATTATTTTTTTTATCAAGTGGATTGTGACTGGCAAATTTGGCCTCTGCAATAATATAGGATGTGCCTCATTTAAGGTTTTGAGAGGTAGTCTGCTTTTGGCAGACCTTACTGGTCTTACCTTCTGCAATTGCTTTGATAGCTCAGTTGGTTAGAGCATGGTGCTGATCACAGCAAGGTTGCAGGTTCACTCCCCATATTCCTGCATTGCAAGGGGGTTTGACTAGATGATCCTCAGGGTCCCTTCTAACTCTGTGATTCCTTACACAGCTACTCACCGTCACAAATAAAAAAGCCTCCATTTTATTTATGTAAAGCTTTGTCACTTTCCAGTTATAGTCAAAATGGAATGATGTCAATTTGGTGATATTTGTAAGCTTCCAGTCATCTTTGTTTCGGAGCCAGGCATTGTTCAGTTGTTTTGGTCTTCCAAAGTGCTTTGCGCTTCTCATCAAACCAGTCCACATGTTAACATCCTTGGTGTGTGTTCTGCAGCTCACAGGCACCCCTTGGTCAGGCTGTTTCTCAATGTTGAGAAACTATTTTACAAAGGAATGTTTTTTGGAGGGGGGAAGCTTCCATCAGAACTTATAAAAAGGGATCCCTTTTCTGTATTACTTTGCCATCCTATGTTCACAGGGGTCATTTGTTCTCAACTGTGCTCCCAAAGGACCTTTCCGGAGAAGTTTGCTTTTTTTTTTTAAACTTTTTGATTACAATAGCTCAGTTCTCCCCCCCCCCCAAACAGACTAAAGAACAATAAACAAATACAAAAGGAAAGGGAACAGCTCATCAATAACAAAGGCCTGCATTTGAAAGCATTTGCCTTACTGACTCTCACATCTCATTCCAAGCAAAGCAGGAGTCCTGCAGAGAAAGGAATCTAGAAGATAGGAAAATATTAAAATAGTAAAAGTGGAATGCTTGGAACGGCCTGTGATGGGTGATGAAGAGAAGAAAGCTTTTATTGCACAACAATTGGGACAGTTTACTCGCTAATACTACTTCTACCTGTAGAGACTCCTCTTGATTGTAGATTAATTTGGAAAACTAGAACTATTCACAGGGCCTCAAGTTTGACTGTTTTGAAAAGACATGAAATTTGATTCTGAACCTGGGCAATGTAAAAACATAAATCTCTCTGAATCTAAGCAGAAGCTAATTGTACCATTCACACTACATAGCCAAAAAAAAAAGAAATATCTATTGTCAATCTGGAGAAGGACCGTTATTTGTTTCCTCCTAAGATTCAAGTTTTTATTTAATTTTATTTTCAAAGTATGTGTAGAAGGTATTTGCTATGAATACTGAAACTGTGCAATTTGATGTAATTATATTCCCCCATAGGTTTAATTAAGGACTTTTAACTATAATTTATCTTTTGATAAATAGACCCTCTGCACAGAATGTTTATTAGATTGACAGCAGAATGTGTACCCAGATAGCTTTTTCTGCCTTGCCATGTGACTCAGATGAATTTTAATAGGAGCAAAAGCTTTTATTTGCCCTGTAATTTCACTGAAGGATCATATCCTTTAAAAACCAGCAGACACTTGTACGTCTTGATGGCAGAACACACAGACAAGAGCAAAGAAACATGCAAAAGATGTTGCTATTTGGCCTGTCACTGGTTATAGCAATTCTTCTGGCAACATTTGCCATCAAAACACATCAAAATACTTAGTTGCAAACATATAACAAGGCTGTTGTCTTTTTTTGTCTGAAAGAAAGATTCCAGAGTGTAGCCATTTATAATAGGAACCCAATAACCCTTTTAAAAAACCCATAAACCACAGCTTACAGAACAATGTCTGTTGTGAGCCTGAAGATGGGAATAGTTAAAATACCATTGGAAAACAATATGGTGGGCTACTTGAGCCAAATTTTGATAGCAGTCTAGGTAGTTCAGGCCCCTTTGGTTTTCACTAGTACTGGACACACCCCAAATCGGTTTCTGGGGCTAGGGTGTTTATTGTAGGATCAGTGGTCCTCATGCATGCAATTTTTTTTGCAGCACCAACACAACATTGTAGCTATCAAAATCCCCACCCATATCCCCATCACAACCTTATCTGCATTTACCCTTTCCAGGGAAAACCCAACCAGCTTTAAAAAAGAAAAGAAAAGAAAACTTGCTGCTTACATTAAGCTCCCATCTGGAAGCACCCTAGCTGTCTGCCTTGGGAGATCCTAGTGTACAACTTTTTTCAAAGCTACCTTGGGGCAGGAAAGGAGGCATCACTGCACTAATTTTAAACTAGCCCAACCACTAGTTGTTTGGTTTGGTGTGTGTGGAGGGGGTGAGCGAAATGTTTCTTTCCCTGCAAGTCAGTGATCATTTTACAACGTTCAAACAGTTTTAATAAATTTTCATGCAGGCTCGAGCAGTGACCATCTCCTCTTCCAAATGACAGCAATCGTATATGAGGAAAGCACATATTGACACTTAATTATGATGTATGATGTGGTATCAGTAAACTCTGTTGGAAAGGCTTTGTCCATTTCTTTGGATCATCATCATCATCATCATAATTTATTATTTATACCCTGCCCATCTGGCTGGGTTTCCCCAGCCACTCTGGGCAGCTCCCAACGAAATATTAAAAACATGATAAAACATCAGACCCAACATGCTTGCAGCCACCTGGTTGCTCAGCACATATTATTTCTGTGTAAAGCTATTGTTGCTTGGCGGGATATAAATAAAATTTATTATTATTATTATTATTACCCAGAAGAGCCTATATTAGGGGTGTCCAACCTTTTTCCAAAGAGGGCCAGGTTTGATGAAGTGAACATACGTGAGGGCCGACCAAAGTTGTTGCCCTTTTAGGATTGAAGTTGCTGAGCTCCCCCCCCCCCCCGGATTTGACCCCAGGAAATAACCTGTCACAGGGGCCGGATTAAACCGACTGGCGGGCCGGATTAGGCCCCCAAAACAGACTTTGGACACACCTGGCCTTTACTATGGGGTATATATCAACATTGCACTATTACAAACGTTCCATCTGCACAACCACACTACCTTGCCAGATGGAGTGTTCTCTCCTGCCTTCCCCTGCATGGTATGGGGGGTGGTGGTTTGTCTCCTGACCCACAAAGGAAATTTGGGGAGAACAAAGGGAGGGGAGGAGGAAAAGCTCCATTGCGCAAGGGAACGTCCTTGTGCAGGGCTTCCGCTGATGGGGTTTGTTAGGTGTATCTTGTCCTGCATTCTCAGTAAGAAGCTGTGTTTTCTGGATTGGTTCTAGAGCCTTGCAGCCCTGGGTGTTAACTTTTTCTCTCTCCTTATGAATGCAATATATAGCCTTGATCAGATTAGAAAAGCAATGTATCATTGATTTAGGAAGATGTGTAGAAGCTTCGCTGGAATGAACAGGAACCAATTGAGAGCATGGATCTACACCTACCATTTAATTTAAGTAGGTCTGATTCCAGGCAAGTTCCTGGTTGATTGTGTTCAAAATGGCTAGGATACTTGACCTCTCATTATTAACTCCCATTTACCTTCACACTGGATATTCTAATATTTAGGCAGTCAAAAAGTGAATGAGACTTCAGTCCATTCGGTTGAAGAACAATAACTTGGTGGTTGTTTTTTTAACTAAACTCTTCAGAACCCCTGTGTTCTGTATTGAGTAAATTGGGAAAAAGATGGACATGTTGTCTTAAAGATGGTTTGCCCCTTTCCCTTCTTGTATCATAGAATTATAGAGTTGGAAAGTACCCCAAGGGTCATCTAGTCCAGCCCCCTGCAACGCAGGAACCGCAACTTGTACTTGATGATTGTGCAGCTTCTAGGGTGTACTGTGTTTACACTGCTACGCTTTAGTATTTAGTATTTGAAAGAGGCAGTATCTTAAAGTCGGGCAGAAAAATGCACATGATAGTTACACATATTGATATACTTACACATGTACAAAAAGTCAGTTTGATTTGATTTGATCATGTGCACTAAAGCCCATCCCAGAACCATCGCCAACGTGCAGGAATTCCACAGCAGATGGATCAGTGTAGAAAACTCCCTGAAGATCCTATGTTTAAACTACACTGCCATAGGTTACCAAAGCTGGTAACATGATTTGACAGTATTTGCACGATAAGCTGCAAAGTGCTAAGAATTCTGCTTTAATAGTGAAAGTTCAATTTTAAAAGATCCAGAAGCTGACATACTGCTGCTGGCTGATCTTGATGCAAATTAGATTATCATAAGTGCAATTCTAACTGTAACATTTATTATCAACACAGCTGGTTAAACTAGTGATAGGAGCATGTTTGTTCCTCTTTTGTCCATTGATGGTCAAAGAGGAACAAATTTCTCACAGAGACCTGCTGCCATCTGCTGGATTTCCGAGTGCAGTGTCTCCGCTCTTGGGTAAGCCTTATGCCAAACCAAAGAAAACTGATGTGGCTGCAGAGCATGAACAATATTTTCTGATTAAAACAAAACCAAAGAAACCTGATGTGAAAAAGCATTTGTTGATATGCTGAGTAAAAATAGCTTCTAAAAGCTAATAATAATTTTAACCACCCCCCTCCACTTTTAAAATAGTGTTTTGCTGATAGTTTGGTGGTAAATTAGCATAAAAAACCCCAGAAACAAACAACTTTGCAAATTACACTGTGTCTCCCCCCCCCCCCCGACTGCTACTTATTCAAGATACTGTCTACTATTTTTCGGTGCTTCTTTTTAAAATGGAAGCTTGGATTCTCAGAATCCTGCGGACTTCATAGAAAAAAAGCTGGACTGGAAAGTGGGGGAGGGGACTGTGTGGCCCTTCTGCTGTTGCCACTCGTGTGTAGAGAAAGATCAAACCCATAATTCATTGTGTTCAATGTTTTCAAGTGCGGCTATTTACCTGGTTGAGTTTTGCTGTCTTACTGCGGTATTTATTTGGAATTGATTCCATCAATTTATCCCCACGTTTTACATCGCTATAGTTTCAAAGCATGATAGGCAGCAGGTGGAGAGATTTGTTTCCAAGCCGCTTTCAAAAAGTCAGCCACAATGTGTATAATTGGTATTATTAAAATCTCACATCCATTTTAGATAGTAAGTTATGCATTGTAGAGGGGAGAAGTGAAGGGTGTGGGCAGGTAGAGAAATTACAAAATATTTCCAGTTGGTGAACATCTGTAAAAATATAGTTTGCGATGTGCCAATTCAAGGTTGCAAACAAATGCTGGATTGTACTTCATAAGATCTTTAATAAA